GAGAGAGAGAGAGAGAGAGAGAGAGAGAGAGAGAGAGAGAGGTTTACTAAAGTTCACATGGAGGCAAAAAGAAAAAGGTTGACGAGTTAGTTAAACCACCAGTACATCCAGCTATCGGCCTCGGGCCCTTTACGGAGGCCGCCAGCCGCTGATTCAAATTTATGTACAGCGCTGGGCCTCCGAAATTTTTGTAGGCGACGAGTTTTCTTTTCAGCAAGGCAGTGGCCTTGTTCTGGCGGCTTAAGCTGTCAATCTGATTCACTGACTACTGGGTACCAAATTTTATAACTGAAAAAAAGGAAAACAAAAAAAATGGGCAAGTATATAATTCGTTCAAATGGTCATATATTATTTGTAAATACTAAACCACAAAACAATCAAATAATTGAATAAATGGCAAAAGAAACATGCCAAGTTATATAAATCATAAATGGGTTGGAGGCTTTTTAACCGATTGGAAGCACATTTTTCATGTAAGTGCATTTTCAACACTTCGAAAACGTATCGCTCAAAGCTTTAGATACAACACAACATATTCGCGAGGTGCTGCATTATAAAAAAAATGAAAAAATGCTTTGAAGCAATTGGTACAAACGATATTCCAGACTGATTGATGTTAAGAACGAAAAAATAATGACCTATTTCAAGTTTCAACACATGAAACGGTTTTCACCTTTCTGCAGTCACAGATGCGGACCCTAGAGTTCGATCCCCAGACCTCACTTTGCCCATGTACAGTATCGAGTCGACACCCGAGTGTTTGAACCCGTGACCTGTGTTTTGGTAGTCGTTTGTCGTCTGTCGTAGGTCTGTGTAGTGGTAGGGGTTTTATCTGTAGGTCTGTCGATTAGGAGTCACAGCTTTGTAGAGGTCGTAGCTGTAGGTATTCTGAAAGGTCAAGGTCGTAACTGCTCCAGTACCCGAAAAGCCAAGTCCACAGGCTTCCGGAAGGTCCGGAAGTGGCCTTCGAAGTGTCTCACATTTAGTCAGAGGCAAGTGGGCAAGTGGTGAGCCCAACTGCGTTACGTCGGCAGTGCGACTGCATTGACTTGGCAGTGCAAACCCATGCAGCCAGCGGTACCGGTCCCAGTCAGTCAGATTCCAGTCAAGCAAGTACCGTGTGGGACTGTGTGCACCAAGGGCCTCGGAAAAGGGCAGACCAACGAGTTACAGAAGTATAAAATCAAGAGGCAGCGCCCAGCCATTCATTCATTCGCTGCGTAAGCCATGCGGAAGCGCTGCCACAGCGTCTTGTGCGAAGGTGGTCTGCAGGTTGGCCGAAGACGAAGGGGGCTGAAGAGAGACAACGTAGTCATAGTTAGTGGAAGTAGAGCGGCCATAGCTGCTGTAGTGTTAGAGGTTAGTGAGTGTGCGTGGGTGTATTCAGGGTGGTCCAGAGTTGAGTGCGGATGAACGGTGGTGTTGAACACAGTGACGAGAGTTGTGATGTCCAGGCGCTGATGCGCCATAGTCTGTTGAAGCGAGTTTACATCTGAACTGTGTTCTTTGTTGCCATATCTCTGAGCTTGGTGTGGGCGCTGCGCCAGTGTGAAACGCCATCTGTTTGCATGTATGTGAAGTGGAAGTGAACGTGAGACTGATTGCACACAAGTCCTTAGTACGTTTAATTTCAATTTCAAACTGATACAACAGAGTGATCCTCCCACCTGAAACACATATGGAAATAGATACAGATTCATTAACTTCAATCATGTGTTTTTTCTTTTGATTGCAGAATAGTCGTGTGTGTGAGAAATGCCACCAGGTGGATGCCTGCACTGTTTATCACAAGGTATCTCTCTCTCTCTCTCTCTCTCTCTCTCTCTCTCTCTCTCTCTCTCTCTCTCTCTCTCTCTCTCTCTCTCTCTCTCTCTCTCTCTCTCTCGCATTTTCTGCCCCCTCCCTCTGTCTCTCGTTCCTCCTGTCTCTCCTCTCCCTTTCCTTCTATCTCCCTGCCCACTCTCTCTGTCTCTGCCTCGCTTCTTCTCTCCCCGTTTCCCCCAGCATCTCCCCCTTTCTCCTGCTCTCTCACCTTCTCTCCCCCTTCCCCATCTCTCTCCCTCTCTCCCTCCTCTCTCCCTCCCTCTCC